AAGAGGGAAAGGGGGCTGGTGTCGGGGATGTTTCCTTCACTCCATCTTCTCCACCACAGCTCCGGACTATGACAGAAGCCAGTGGCTGAGTGAGAAATTCAAGCTGGGCCTGGACTTCCCCAATGTAGGTGCAGGGCATGGGGACAGTGGGCGTAAGGGGACCTTGTCTCTACTCTGAGATCTCCTTTCCCCGCTTGCATATAGGTTTTGGGATCTGGGGTTTCTGCTCAGCCCCTTAGCTTCCTGGTGCCTTTACTGCTTTCCCACGATGCTCTGTGTTCCAGCTCATTCTTTAATTTTATGGTATATTTGCTTAGTACCTACTGTGGGCCAGACACTGAGCCCAGGTTTCATGTCTGCTCCAAATGCAGGGGGTGGTTTCAGGGGAGCCTGTGGCCCCCTGACCTGCCCCTGTTACCCTTCTAGCTGCCCTATTTAATTGACGGGGACCACAAGCTCACCCAGAGCAATGCCATCCTTCGCTACATTGCTCGAAAGCACAACCTCTGTGAGTGGGGCTGCGGGTGGGTGCAGGGGGACAGGTGGCCATGCCCCTGGGGCTGGCTGGAGTGGGATCCTGAGGGAGTCTCTGTTGTGTCATTAGGTGGGGAGACAGAACAGGAGAAGATTCATGTGGACATTTTGGAGAACGAGATTATGGACACAGCCAATCAGTTGGCGAGGGTCTGCTACAGCCCTGACTATGTGAGTGGCCTCCTGCTGAGCTGGCCTGGGCCACCTTTGCTAGGAGCTTGGACACTTTTGTCTCATCCACACTGGTCCTATTTGTCATTTGAACTCCTTGGAGCTTCTGATCCTCCAAGCTGGTCCCTATGCTGTCAGCAGAGTGACCCTCATAACCCCCAGGTGCCTCAAATGAAATTTCTGACTAAGTTTCCTTCAATCTTAGGATAGAGTGCAGACTCCCCAGGGTGGAAGTTCAGTTTCTAACCATGTGTTCAGCTTCTTAGGCCAGCACTGCCTCCTTGACACCTTTGGGCATCAGCACATTTTCCCAGTAGGCAGTGTGGGGTGCCCACAGGGCCTCTGTGCCTCTCCCTCCCTCTTTCAGCCTCTCAGATTCTCCCCATCTGGCTAGAAAATGCTCAGTGTCCACTCTGTCACCCACCAGCTGGAACCTATAATTTCTGCCCCAGGACACATTAGTTCTTTGTGTCTTTCATTCTGTCTGATGTCTGAGTCCAGGGCTCTGCATGTTCTCCCAGCATCCTGGGTCTAATGAACACAGGTTGGATTGAATGATAAACTGGGCACTGACCCAGGTGCAGCTGGGGGGCATGGCTGCTCATCCGTGGCAGGTGGGGGTCAGGAACAGCCCTGGGAGGCCTGCCTGTCTGCCCAGGAGCCTGTGTCTGAGGGTGGTGACAGCTGTATTGTGTCTCAGGAGAAACAGAAGCCTGAGTACTTGAAGGTGATCCCTGAAAAGATGAAGCTCTTCTCACAGTTTCTGGGCAAGAAGTCTTGGTTTGCAGGGGACAAGGTAAGGGGAAGACTTTGGAGTGGGGGACCTGACAGTTTCCCAGTTTCAGAGTTTGGTGCCCATTCGTCCTTTGCCTCTCTGCAGCTCACCTACGTGGATTTTCTGGCTTATGATGTCCTAGACCTGCACCGCATATTTGAGCCCAAGTGCCTGGATGCGTTCCCGAACCTGAAGGACTTCATTAGCCGCATAGAGGTGATGCCACGGGTCCTCTTTCTGTTTTATCTCTTTCGTCTTCCCTCTTATCCTTGATGCTTTGCTAGTCCTGGAGCCAAAAAGAAGCTTAACTAGCATTCATTGAGGGTTTGCTTTATGCTAGGATCTGTGTTCAGTATCTCACATATATTGGGTTCTTTACAACATTCCTACCTGGTGGAAGGTTTATCACCTCTCTTTTCCAGATAATGAAATGAGGCTGAAAGGGTAAGTCATTTGCTCAAGGCCACAGAGCAAGTACAAGCTGTGTGGGGTTCCCAGTCAGCATTGGCCTCCCTGGGCAGTAGTCAGTGCCCCCCCTTTCCTGTGCCAGAAAGACGAGCTCAGGTCCTTCTCCAGCCTGGGGTCACAGCTCAGGACATTCTGGCTGAAGCAGAAGGCTCAGGAGTTTGTATGTAGCGTAATTAGTGGAGGTGAGACATGGTAGGAATGATATTAAGTGCCGAAGACACAGACAGTATTGACTTGCTATCTGCAGACAGCTTTGCAGAGTGGGATCCCCTTGGGCAGTACCGAGATTCCCGGGCTGTGGTCGGTGCTGGGATCTGGGTACACATGTGGGTGCCCCCTGCGGGAGGATTTTATCTTGATGTCTCCTGTGGTGGGCACTTTCCTTCCCCTCCCCTCTCCCTTTCCTTCTGTCCAGTTATCCAAGATACTGTCTCAGAGGTGAGGTGTTCCGTTTATTTTCAGTCACATTCACTGATGTGCCCTTCTGCTCTGTATGAGGCCTGGTGTCAGGCACAGAGGGGATGCTAGGTGACCCAGCCTTGGAGCGCCGCCTCCTGGGTCTCAGTGCAGTGGAGAAGCACAGAGTCCCAGCTGTGTGGTGCTGAGGTTCCGCCTGGGTGGTGGCGGTGCACAGGCCGCCCTCACCTCACAGCTCATCATCGGTTATCCTTGGTCAACTCCCAGGCGGACCAAGTCAGCTTTATACAGATTTGGGAACTTGAGGCCTTATTAGCCCAGGAGGTGTTCATCTTAAATCTTTTTCCCTTCCACCCTCCATCAAGAGATCTGCGTTGTCAGCTGCTTCTCATCAGCTCTGGTTCTGGTCCAGGTGATCAGCCTTGGACATTATGCAAGAGGTGGCATGAGTGACGGGCCGGGAGGGATAGGGGACAGCTGTGGGCTGCAGGCTGCAGGCTGCAGCCTGTTGTGGCCAGGCCTTGGTTACAGGCGGTCAGTCCCAGGGCCTCTGAATCCTGTAGAAGTTCCTGGGCGCTGCCTGTGGTGGGAAGATGGGGCTCACCCCCCCGTGTGTCTGAGGCCTGCTTGGCTGCAGCAGGACAGGGCTGAGGTAGGTCGGGCGCAGTGAGCTTGAGACCGGGCTCAGGAGCCAGGCCAGGCAGCTGGACTTTCTCCTTTCAGGGGACTCCTGAGGGCCTGGCCTTGCTCTCCTGCTGCACAGCCTCCTATCAGCTTTCAGCCCGTTTTGCTGAGTCATTGGTTGAGATCTGGCCTCCCCTGCGAGCTGCACAGGCATAATCTGAGCCCTTTCGTTCTGCCTGGGGTCCCTCCTTGGGCAGCCCGGGGAGGCTAGGAGCCTCCCTCTGAGAAAGGAGACTGTTTGTACAGACTGAGGGTCAAGGCTCCTGTGTGGGAGGGGAGGGGCCGGGAGGGGAGGAAGGGAGGCGGAAAGGAGAGGAGGGGAGGAGGGGAGAGCAGCAGCAGGAGCACAGAATGGGAGAGAGCCAGGCTGTCCTCTAGCTCTTTGGACTAACTAGCAGTGTGGCATGAGGAGGGGGCTTGAGCTCTGTGTGCCCCAGTTTCACTTCTGAAAAATGATAGCAGAACCTATCTTGTAGGCAGTGGTGTGCAGGTTCTAAACCCGAATCATAATGTCTCATGGATATAAAGCACCCAGCACAGCGTAGAGTCTCACATGTTGTAACTTCTACTAAGATATCACATCAGGTACAGGAAATTGGAAGAGTTAACTTAGCAGAGTTGGGAACCCCAGGAAGACTGTTGTATGCCCCGTGCTTGACCCGACAAGGGGGTCTTGCCAGGACCCTGAACTTGGAGTGTTTGGAGTGGGGCTGCACAGGCCAGGTGGGGCAGCAGACCCTGAGGCCTGGCCTCCTTTCCCCCCTCAGGGCCTGAAGAAGATCTCCGCCTACATGAAGTCCAGCCGCTTCCGCCCAGCACCTATTTACTCAAAGCCTGCAGTGTGGGGCAACAAGTAGGGCCTGTAAGTGCAGGAGATGGGAGCGGGGAGCACCCTGGGGTCTGGAGAGCAGCTGGTCCTCCGTGGACCCACCGCACCAGCTGGCTCGCTCTTTTGTTCTTTTCTTTCCTTCACCCACACTCCAGTCCTATTTGACGCCTTTCCCTCCCCCAGTCCAAGTTCTCCCAGGATCTTAAAGCTCTCCAGCTCTCCTTTGTCCAGGGAGTCTCCCTGTGACATCCTTCACTATGCACTTAGTGCCTTGCCCTGCACTGAAGCCAGCCGGACTGACCTTCCTTTCAGTGATTGCTCCGCTGTCAACCACTGACTCAGCAACAGGAGCTGGACTGGCCCCTTGGCCTCTAGAGCTCAGCCCTGAGCTCCCACCTGAAGAAGAGTTTGCCTGGGTGTGCAGGCCCTTTCCCCAGCGTGGTCCCTGGCCTGCCCGGCCTGATCCCCAGTAAAGCTAAACATCCCTTCTGTGTCCTGTCTTATTCCTTCCTGGCCACCTGAACGCTCCAGTGGGTTCCGCTGCTTCCAAGGGTCTGACTGGTGATGCTGGCAGTGGCCTGGTCCTTGGGGATGTGGAGTGGCAGTAAGGTGTACTGATACTTTTTGTTCCCATTCCTGACAGCCTTGGAGCGTGACACCTCATGGGGCTCTCTTTAGAAGGGAGGCCTCTTTCTGGACCCTGACCTCTCATTCATTCATCCACCATTATTGGGGGCTCACTGTGCAGAGCTTCATGTCTTTGCGAGTAGGGCTCAGAGGTGCTGGGAATCCCCAGTGGAGAGAACGGGGATTCTTTCCCACTTTACACTGTCTGACTTTATCACACCTGTAAGATCTCTAGGATTCCATCTCTATGAAAACGGTCCCAGTCTTGAATAGGCATTTCCCAGGAGGGACTATCCAATTGGCCAAGAAGCATATGAAAATGTACTGAACATCATTAGATACTGAAGAATTTATGAATGCAGTTGGATCCTGTTACCCACATAGGCTAAAATTTAAAGGATGGGCAATTGTTGAATGTGTGGAGTCACTGGAACTGTCATTCATTGCTGCTGGGACAGCCACTTTGGAATACCAGCAGTATCTACTGCAATTAAATGTACAACCCTCTGCCCATGGAATTTCACTCCCTTATAGTCTAGCAGGGAAGAGTGCTTATGTCTTCAGGGACACATGCCGTAACCTTCAAGGCCGCTTTATTTGAAATAGCCAATAACTGGCAACAATCCAAAGCCTATCAATGGGAGAATGGACAGATAAAGCTGGTTTATTACTATGACTCCATTATCCATATGATGGAATCCTACACTACAGTGAATATACCATAATGAAGACAAATGCCTTACTGTTACACATAACACGGGTGACTCACAGACAGCATTGACCAAAAGGATGCAGGTACCATAAAGTACATAGTATAGGGTGTCCCAAAAGTAAACACACATTTTGAATAATTATAAAGGCAGCGTTTATTAAAATACATTTCATTTTCAAAATTGAGCTATCAGCTGTTAAAGTGTGTATACATTTTTAGGGGGACACCTTGTATATACTTAAAGTCAACGGACAAAACTTGTGTTTAAGGTGACTGAGGTCAGCCAAATGGTGACCTTGTGTGTGGGGTGTTGCTCATTGAAGGGACCTTGTGAAGGGTGGAAATGTTGTTTTGTTCTGGGTGGTGATTCCAGAAGAGTATGGTGTGTAAAAAGCCATAGAGTAGTACATGAGATTGGGCATTTTATTGCATGTCATACACACACACACACACACACATATGTATATACAGTTTATCATCTGTCTCTCCCTGTAGCAGAGGCAGGCCCCAGCATGCCTGGCCCTGGAACAATGTACAGGAGTTTGAGGGGCCTGCTTTCTGATAGCCAGAGTGACACCACTCATGTTCTTGAGGACCAGGCTGCCAGACCCATCCAAATATGTTCTCTGCCCAAGTCTCAATGTCTTGACCCTGATCTGCAGCCTGGTACCTGCAGCAGCAGGCCCCAGGGCAAGACTATTTCCCGGTCCTCCCTGCGGACATCCCTCTCTGTCAGCTGGTAGCCAGGGGAGTGCGGGCTCTGGTCTCCTTCCTGCTAGCTGGAATTGCCCTCTAACTTGTGAGTGCATTTGTTTTTTGAAGATCCACTCATCTGTTTTCACATCTGCATTCACCCTTATAATAAAGCCTTTTTAAAAAAGAAGACGGCCACAGCCCAAACTGTGTCTGTCCTATTCTCTTAGTTTTCACACAGTGTTCTGCCTTCAAAGTGGAAGTTGGCAGGTAGGACATATTCTTGTGGAGGTTATACCACAGGTCACAGATCACAGAGGGACTTCAAAGGCCACCTGAGCCACTCTCTCATACCCCAAAGCACATGCATGTCAGGAGCCAGGGGCAGGGCTGGAATCCGTGGACTTGAACAGCTGAGGGTCTGCAAAGCACACACTGTGGTTCTGCGGGGCTCCCCCAGGGTCCTGACTGACCTCCCCACCCATTTCTGATGCCCTCTGCAGCAGCACAGGCGGCTGGTCCCTCAGAGGACAGCTCTCCCCACTTCACTCACATGCCCTATGTGACCATGCTCGCATGCACCATGCTCCTGGTTATTGTTCCGGCCAATATCAGGGATATCTAGCTGGCTGGAGGGACATTTCTGGGGCTGCACCTCCTTACCCTGCCTCTTTGCAGGGGCTGGTTCTGGATTTCAATCAACAGTTTCCACCATAAAGCCAATTAATTGATTTTCATGTATCAGACACATGACTTAAGAGCTGGGTCCTCCCAAGTCCTAGCAAGGAAAACACAGAACACGCCTCCTTTTCTCTGTCCTTGGCCCTAAGGGTTCGTGATCTGGACGACACGCGGCATCAGGGCTTCGTTCTCAAGTCTCGGAGGGGCCTTCAGCCTGGCTGGTCTACCAGGGACAGGTGCTGAACGAGACTCTGGATTTGAGGGGTGCCAGTCTTTGGGGTTTCATTGGAGTTTGGGCCTCCCTGAGCCCTTGGGAACTTGCAGCCCAGGGGGAGGACGCAGGAGCCCGGCTGCCTTTGTCCCCCCAGCGCGCTGCCCACGTCCTCGGACCCGGCCGCGGGCGGG